TGGTCCAAACCTCAAAATCGAAGTTCTAGAGTTTTTCCCATGTTTTTTGTTATTTTCCTGTCCTAATTTTGTTCCGAGGTACCGGGACGCCGTTCCGCCGAGTTTCGCCCAGAAATCATCATTCGGTTAGCACTACCAGGTATATAGCAGCACACCCCACCTACTGTACATCTCAATCATATATAAGTCCACGCTTCATCGCTCAGACAAAGTCGACGCGATTCGCGTCGATTAGCTGCTTCTAATGAAAATAATTGGCCTTTCTCAATAACAAAAATAGCAATTTAATTCCAACACTCGCCTTACAAATTCAAGTTATATCCAAGTCTTATTAAATTTTTCCAAATACTATGAAAGTTTACTGATAATATCTTACACCTTTCAAGCACAATTGTGCATAAACCCCACAACCTTGGAACGCGAGAAGCATTAGATGTATTAGATGGGAGAAGCCTTAGGATGATCACGAAGCATTTTGCTTGTTTATAGAGAACTTCTCATATCGTACCGCGTTCCTATGGAGACAAATAACCCGCACCTATAACACCACCCGCCGCAAGTATCTACCAGCTCAAAGCTAAGAATGCAAGTTTTCTTCATAAATAAGTACGGACAAGTATTTAAGACCAAACCACAAGTGGTAAACCGTGTGCGATTCCATCATACCTGTCACTGTCAGTAGCGATAATCCCAAAACTTTTTTTTCTTTTTTAATAACAATATTAATATCTCCTTCCTTATCATACCACAATAATTAGTCTCTGTTTTCGTTTAACTTTGTAGCTTCTTGTTGCCTTTATTAGGCATTTTTCTGTGAGGTAGTAGGATTTAATACCTCAGTTAATGGTTGTCTTTCTTACGCTCGAATAATACATGAAGTAATTCGCTGTGTTCTATAATTGACTAAATACATATTACCTACGTAGTTAAATTAGTCTAGTAATGGGTTGAAACAAGAGAGATTTTAACTTGTACACAATAATATGTCGCCAAAAAGGCATAAATTCAAATGAATGGGAAATTTTCTTCCTCTTCACTTCCTCCTCTCGGAACTGTGTCAATTTGAAAAAAATCTCACATAGACCTCTATGCAAGTTAGGAAGTATAATGGGGATGAAAGACAATAGTCTTGTGAAAAAGAATCTTATTTAGGGGCGGTAAAGTGTAGTGACATGCTATAGTGGAGAAAGTAGAGGCAGTCAGAAACTCCAACTTCTCCAAACTTCTCCTCGCTGAGTCCCTCTAACAGTTCGACGCATAAGGCAAGGTGTCAAAGTTCTAAAAAGAAGAGAGATAAAAATTTATGGTGAAAAGTAAGGAAATAACGCATTTAAAATTTACTCGTTAAAAAGAAAATATTTAAATTAGTTTGAATGACAAAAACAACCCACACAAATTCGACGCTCTTAACTTTCTTTCCATCACTGACGTTGGAATACAACATTCATCTGAACTCAAAGTCAATAAATTATAGTTTTGTTGTTACGTAATGGAGCTCCAACTTCACAGACCGTTAGGCGAATTTCGTGCTAGTAGTTTCCGTCGCCTGGGCAGACGACCACGCCCGCAGCACAGTCCGCGCAGTGCGGGCGCCGCGCCACAAGCGTTGGTCCAGCGCCAGCATAGAGGAAGTCACGGCCGGTCGGAGCGACATGACGCGGCGGTGGGAGGGGCGGCGCTCGCGTGCAGGCGGTGCGAGTGCGCGTTGGGAGGGGACAGGGTGGCGAGGGAGGGGAGGGGCGGCGCCCGCGGCAAGACGCGCGGGGTCGCCGGACCGCGGGAGGCCGCGTGGGCAGGTCAGCGCCGGGCGCGCCGCACAGGGTGCCCCGTCGCTACTCGCCCCACCCTACCCCTCCCTCTGCCCTGACGGTCGCAGCGAGGGCCAGTTGCGATTCTTCACTGGTGCAAAAAGCAGGTTTTCATCTATAAAGGATGGAGATTAAGTTATGCTCAACCAATCGCATTATTATCCGAAGTTTAGCGCTGTCGTAAATATCTCTTTCCTATGCTAGCTTAGCCCCGATGAAGTAGGCTAAGTAAATTTTTGCTGAAAATGTGGCAACGGACAACGCGCTCTCTAAATCATACTCTGTATTTGGTTACATTCAGAAAAGCTACAATATCCGCTTGTTGCTTAAAACTGGCTGTTGTCTGGTATATTCAGAGACCGAAAAACGAAATTTCGTAAAACCATGAATTCTAATATTATAAATCTTCAAGACGATTTGTTTGATTATTCACGCTGAACAATGAATTGATTTCATCTGGCTCAATACAACAGTTGAATGGTATGTTTTATTCACGCAAGACGAAAATGGTTCAAATAAACACATGATGCAAGATGTTTTGCTCATCCTGGAAAATGTAGTTACACTACGTACCAGAACTGTTTTCGAGTACCAAAGAACATTCGCAAGTAAAGGCTCATCGCTATCGGAAGACTAGAAACATCATAGTCACAAAATCTCTTAGTTACTACTCGTGGGGGGATATGTACATCCCCCAGAGGTGCATCCAATAGGTTAGCCCCTAGTTACTCGCGCTGTTTTTGTGACACAAGTTCCCCGCGCGCGCACTTGTGTGCGTACGTACTCTGGCGCTTTGTACACCAAGCTATTTTATTAGAAAAAATGATCTATGCAAGGCCTGAATATGTTTGGATATAGGTTTTTATTTAATATTGTTTAAAAATACTCTTATTGCATTTTAATTTAATAGTTATAATAATAAATTTAGCAATTAATCGTCAACTTTTTTTTGCATTTTTGAATGACTTAACGAATGTTATTTGTATGGCAAAATTGTTGCACCATTAGTACCACGTGTAGTAATAATGGAAGTAGTGCGGTTTTTTGCTCTTCCCGCAAATACAGGATTGTCGTTATTCCGTTAGTACTTATTCTTGATCATCACGACTTCCAGCTTTTGTAAATTTGTTAACAAGCGGTGATATATTACACTTTGTAATCTTGTCTTTCCCAATAAAAGCATCTCTACACTCTAAATTTCTGCTTGTATAATCACTAGCATAATCAAGTTCAAAACATATTCACTCTCGGTCACTACTTCTTCCTCGGAATCACTTGCAACATCGCAAATTTCATCTGACTATTCCTCGTACGATAATTCACACATGCTTTACCGACAAAATATTCATCTCTGTATTTTCCTAATGTAAAACAAAATAAATAAGTTTCATTATATCTATAAGTAAAAACTCTTATGATAATTTAAAAAATTGAAAATTAACATTGGTTAACTGGGAAAATTAACTGGTAAACCACACGGCGTAGAAAGTATGCCAACGAACTCTATCCAACGGAATACAATCGTCTAGACACAGCCGTATATCTTACGCAACTGAGTATCGAGGAGGACGCAGCTAAATGCCTTCTGCGAGATTAGGTCAAATGTCAGAACATACGCTGATGTTATCTGAAACGTACGGCGATAACAGTTCCAGTACAGGCGTACAAAGTACACCAGCGCCAGTAACTAAGGGTTAAAGACGAAAAATGTTACATATTGTCGAGTACGCTAACCAATCAGCAAGCGCATGTGTAATCTACAATAAAAGATGGTCTGTTTTCACATATTCATAGTGCAAAACTCCGAAACATTATTGTTACGAAATTAAAATATAAATACGAAGAAAAGAGACAATTGAGGGATGTAGCGTCGGGTACCACGGACGCGAGTTTGTGGAGGAGGACTGGGTCGAGTTCGCTAGGAGAGATGGACGCCTGAATATACTTGTAGGCCGGGAATGTTGACGTATCATACTGACTCTAAAACCCAACCCAAAAAATTAATCGGTGGTTCTGTAGTAATAAACAAGACATTTTCGAAAACGGTAAAGGTAACATTTGCCAATTGTTTCTGGTTACAAGAATTTACAAAAATATATTTACTTCTATTTGACCTTTTTATTTAAATTATCGAGAGAGAGGGGGGGGGAGAGGAAGGGAAAGAGGAAGGGAGAAGGAGGGAGAGAGAAAGGGAGAGGGAGGGAGAGAGGGAGAGGAAGAGAGGAAGGGAGAGTGAAGGAAGGGAGGGAGGAGAAAGGGGGAGAGAGGAAGGGGAAGAGAGGAAGGGAGAGAGAGGAAAGTGAGAGAGAGGAAGGGGGAGAGAGATGAAGGAAGAGAGAGGAAGGGGAGAGAGAGGAAGGGGGACAGAGAGAGGAAGGGAGACAGAGAGAGGAAGGGAGACAGAGAGAGGAAGGGGGACAGAGAGAGGAAGGGAGACAGAGAGAGGAAGGGGGACAGAGAGGAAGGGGGAGAAAGAGGAAAATAGGGGTGGTGAGAAAGACACAAGCACACACACTAATGGACAACGACGTTTAGTGAGTGGCAAAACTGCAGCATCGAAATTATTGGCGTTCAAACGGTCGCGGAAGTCACGTATGCCTAAGCTTTTGCGGGTTCATAAGTTCAATAGTTTCGTGACGATTACGTACAACGCCACTATGGTTTCCATGGTTTCCGTCTTTCCGAAGGGGGCCCAAAGTTATATTCCATGGACTTTATTATACAAAATAAGTTTTTGAACGTTCAATTTTTGGAAGTTAAGCTTTTCTGAGAATATGCTCGGCACCACAGATGGTGAAAAATATGAAGAATATTGTAGGTCACCGTAAATTATGTATTTGATATTTTAACGATTTAATCGCAATGGTGTGAAACTGTTCATTAAAATACTTAGTAATATTATAGTAATTAACCAAACTAGAGAGGATAAAGAGTATAGTTGTATGAGCGGTATGTTCAAGAAAACGAGCGAGGATAGGAGCGAGTTTTCTTGTTTACCAGGAGTTCAATTATACCCCTTTGAACGCGAAATGTGGATAATATTTTTTCATTTCCACTTAAGAATAATTTAATTCTTGAGAAATTCGTGCACATCTTTACCATTTGATGCATGCATTTGATGACGTCTCAATGCTTCTGAAAAGATCTATTTAGTGGGCCTAGCATGTACATATAATTACTATTATCAAATCCATGAAACGTTCAGACAGGTACGAGAGAGAATGCATGTTTAATATAGGAAAGTAAAAAAATACTAGTCACTTCTGACACAGTGTCGCACAAAATTCTCTCTAGTACACTGCTTAGATTAAAATATATTTCCACTATGAGATAAGACAAGAGTAATACTCTATATACCTGACGTACAAAGATTTCAAATTTTGTAACGTAACATCACTGATAGATAGTGTGCAACCACATAAACGCATCATTATTTCTCTAATTTATACATCATTCACTCTTATTTGAAAGTGACGCCAGAAAGTTGATTTTATTTTACTTCTAACACTCAAATACATATATTGTTTTATATACGAATTTCTGTGCATATTTCTTGTTTGTTAATTGCTAAGGCTAAGCAATAAACTGTTATTCTCAATTTGTTGTTCATTGAAAATATTACTTTCAAATGAAGCCATTTTAATCATGTTAACAGAAATTTTCTTATTAGAACATTTAATATCTACATCGGCTCTTGCATTACCATAACAAGGACATTCTTTGTTCTTTCCATTATAATATTGTACTGACAAGTAAACACATGAACTGCGCCAGCAGTTTAGTGCTTCCAACTCCAGAGGAGAGCGCGATGTAATTTTAACGCCAAATACGTCTAATATACACTGTCAAATATTTAAAGTAGCTGATATTAGCGACATCGAAATTCACCTTTAAAGTGTTTCATTCGATCATGATTTGTTCGCTAAAGCTGTTATCGTCGTACTGAACCTATTTACTTGTACACGGGACTTTTATATAGCATAAATTCTCATAGAAATATCGTTTACCGTATTAGAGCATCGTTACTGCTTTGTTTCTGAGAGTGTTTACTTGGTGGTGTCATCGAAAATGCAATTCAGCTACTCGAAATCTACATTGTGTATAAGAATTATTTTGTTTTGTTTTTGGCTTTACCATTAAAATTATATTCCTCTGGAGTGAGAAATACTAGAAAAAGGTCTGCGGGTGCAGTTCGTATGTATCTTTATCGTTATATTTAACAGAAAATTGATGGGAAAACCCTTGGTATATTGAATGGAGAGCTCAAATTTTCAATCCCGGTCAATACTTGTGGAATTTGTGGTGAATAAATTAGATATTTGGGGTTTTTAAGTTTCCCCTGTTTTTCATTCCACCAAATCATTCGTTCTGGATCAACATCTATTCACCAATCATTTATCCAAAAGGATGGAAAGGCATGGCCGAAAGGATTTAGTACTGAGAGTTTTAATATAAGCAAAATTGTTAGAAATGATTCATTTCCTATTTACTCTGTCAATTTAGAAATTTTTAACGATAACTTAATTACAATTATTAAAATAATAATGCAAATAAGTCTAATTGTTGGGCGTTTTAGAGAAGTATAAAAAACTGTTTTTGACCTTCATTAAATGCTGACAAATAAATATAATAGCCAGAATTGGTGTAAACGCTAACAATTTTCGGAACATAATGACTACACGTTTCCTAATAAGGCAATCTCCTCGAACTACTCCTTGAAATTGGACTGTTTTCACATTTTTGTTAGCGGCACTTACAGTAGACGTTTCCGACAAAAAGACTGGTTCGTTATTCTGGACCATGAAATGTCAAAATTATCGACATTTATACATTTTCTTTTCTGTTTTGGAATCGGAATCCCGTGCTGATGCGGGAAAAGAGGAACACATCAGGGAACAAAACGCTGACTGTCGGAGCAGTTCCTTAAAATGCAAGAAAGGGGCAGAGAGCGATCTTTCCTTCTCCATCGTGTAGTCGCATCCTTAGTGCCGTGCGATAGGTAGATACCCCATTACATACGGCCCACCTCCTATCGATCGAGGAAAATCCTGTGCCTATATTATAAGGAGATAGGGATATTACGGATATTATAGGATAGGATGTATTAATGTCCTGCCGTCAAGTTTCTCCTTGCCAGCGTTTCTTTCCACCGCACGACAGAGTCTCTTTTCTCCAAGTTTGATGTCTTGATTTGATGCGTGAGAAGTGTAGATTATGTAAAAACTTAAAGGCCTTCGATGTGTTATCGTCTAATATCGACACATCACCATCAATCACGAATGCAAGGTTACTTTTAAAGGCCGGTGCGGGATAAAAATTTCTACTGCCGCTGGCCATTAAGAACTATCAAGACAAATAAAATAATTGTATCAAAAGATACTTAAAATTACTCCTATTCAAAGTAAAAATTACATTCGCTATAAATTATTCCAAAAAGATGGAATTGCGAAAAATACTATAAGCCGCAAGTCGATAATATAAATTACGGACTCAGTTGATTATCGTGTAGATTTCCTCAACTTAAACCCTATCAGTCATTTACTCTACACCAACCTAATGTTTAATAAATAAAAATATACAAATGAGAGTGCCCTTACCTTTACTCATGGAAAGTCATGTATTTCCCCTTTTTAATAGTATTTTTTTTTTAATATTGTATATTGAATGTTAGTCAAATTTACAAAAAAAACTTAATTTAAACGTCTTAAACCTGCATGGAAAATTTGTAAATTAAGAAAATTCAGTTCGAAAATGTTTCGTATGAAGTGGGATTTGAGAGAAAGCACCGGTTATAATTTTTAATGTCAACAATTCAGAACCATGTAATACCTTTCAGAAATGACTAGTAATTATTATTATTATTATTATTATTATTATTATTATTATTATTATTATTATTATTATTATTATTATTACTATTATTACTATTATTATTATTATTATTATTATTATTATGTACCATACGACTCAAGCTTTCATTCTCAATTTCCTGAGAATAGCTATACTTTTCCTTTTTCTTCTCCTCTCTGGGCTTTGTTTGTATTGTCTATTCATCCCGAGAGCTCAACAGCGTGTGACGTGGAGTGCGGTTGCGCAGGGCCAGCCCCAAGGGCGAAGACTTCTCGCAGGCCTTCCACCTGTACGAAATGCACTGGACGCCGCGCTGCATCTCCTTCGCCGTCGACGGCCGCGTCATCGGCGCACAGGCGCCGCCCCCCGGCGGCTTCTGGAAGCTCGGCAACCTGGACCGCCAGCCGGGCGGCAAGGACATCTGGGCGGACGGCAGCGACATGGCGCCCTTCGACAAGCCGGTAAGCAGCGTCCTGCTCAGACGTTAGTCGGGTGCTACTAATACATCCGGGCTTTGAGCCGGCTTGGCTGCTCGGGAGATCAATTCCTGTCACTGCAGTGCCTCTGAGTGGAAGCTTCAAGGGTTCGAGTCCCGACGCGACGGATTTTAGACACTAGTCAGATAGCCAGGTCGAATTCTCCCGCTGTCTGGAGGGCAATTCTGGCGGCCGGTTGTTCTCAATGATAGTTTCGGTGGATTCTCCGATCAACACTAGGCGAATGCCTGAGAAGTCCCTAACAAATGAGCGACGATCCATGCGCGATCTTTCTTTCCTCTTCCTTCTATTATCCTCACCCCCTTACTTACATCCCTTATTCAGGAATAACTAACCCACATTACGGGAGTTTAGAGCTTGTCTCGAGCAGTAGTGGCCGCCGCAGTGAGGTGAATGATTCCTTAGTTGGGGAGATCCTGCAAGTCGAAGTCGGCGTGGAATATCTTCATCCAGCTAGGGAATATCACCGCCATTTCCATTCACAAAGCATGCACTACACTTACGGATACATAGACCTTAGTCGTTGACGCGCCCAGAAACATCAATTAGTGGGTAGTCATTATGTAAAAGCTTCTCATAAAGAAACCCAATTGAAGCTAGAAAATCAATAACCCTTCAACTCAACTTTTGGTGATCTTTGCGTGTTTAATCCATTTTTAACAACTATTTAAGTGCAATATTTAAATTTTGAAAAATTTAAGAAATACATTTTCACATTATTAACAGGTTGTTGGGTAACGTTTGTGATCACTTAGAAAGATGACAGACTTTTTCTCGTCTTTAAAACTGGGTTATCTGGGATTAGGACGTTTTTGATTCCGCTTATTCAATTCTATATTATCGGATTGGATCGATGGCACAGGGCATCAACTTATGTCTCTGAAGTCCCTCTGACCGGGAGGCTCTAGATTCGAGTCAGTCGGGGCAGGATTTTCTACACTAGCTTGTTAGCTAAGTCAAATTCAGTCGCTCTCTGGAAGATAGTTCTAGCGGCCGGCTGCTCTGATCGGTAGTTTTCCGTGGTTTCTCCGATCAATACTAGGCGAATACCTGAGCAGTACCATAACAAAAGGGCCACGGACCGCAAGCTATCTCACCTTCCTCTTCCTTGTCCTATCCTCACCCCTCACTCACTCACACCAGTACACTAACACGCACAACACTACCACATATGCCGGGAGACCCGTCGGGAGCTACGAACTTGTCCCGGCTGGGGCGGTTCCCCGCTGATGGGAGATACGTAATGGAAGAAAACGCCAAGGTAGGTCGGCACCGGATCTCGCCATACAACGCGGGGGAAATATCACCGCCACCTCCCGAGAAAAAAAGCATGCATTACACTTCCGGGACTAATGACCTTGGTAGTTGATGGGCCCGGAATCATTAAACAATGAATCAAAAATTTGTATAAAGAAAATATTGGTGAGGAGGGCTCGTCCTCCCCCCAGCGGTGCCTCAAAACCGAACGTATGAAGTGGGAGTGCGCTGTCGCGACAGCGCCTGCAGTGGCCACGCGCGAAAGGACGAGACATTGCCTTAAAGGCGTTTGTGGAGGTCTTTCCACGATGATGAGTTAGTATTGATCTGGCTTCGGAAGTCAAAACCGGTGAAATTGAAAAAGTTACTTGAAATCTTGTACGCTGGTATTGTGATATAGAAAGGTAATTTTCGACATTCGAGAACATTCCGTTTGGAGAAACGTATGAATCTAACTGATGAAAATGTTGATTTTTTTAAATAATCCACAAGTACAAAAGGCATTAAATCAAATAATGAGCAACTTTCAAAAATAGTGCATTTTTTAATCGTTTTCACCCTTAATCGTCGCGCACGTTTGGCTATTTGATAGCCCATGTTTGAATGCATATTGTACATTCAGGGCTTGATAGTGTATGAAAATCCTCTTTTTAGTTTCGTCATATCTGATTTTATAATTAACCTGCTGTCGAAAGGTGATCGGAAAACTTGAACAGAAAATAGATTCTAGAAGAATTTTTTAATAGTTCGCCGGCATTGTTTAAAAATCCAGCAAGGTATTTCGCTTTTTAGAATTGTTTTCTTAAAAGTAATGACCACTATGATGGTTCTTATTATGTGCAGGCCATCAACGACCCAAACGAAATATGACAAACATGGTTTTGGTCCTTCAGTTCGACATCACTTCCTTTGCGTGGCAAATTCAGAACCTTTCAAAAACCTGAATTCGTAATTTTCTCTGCGTGTTCCTTAATGATTCCAGGCTAAAACTTTTCGGAATTTCTTTTTGTTTTTAACATTACATAATGAAGTTTTGACTCAATTCGAATTATTTAACTCCTAAGATGTCTCTTGTCAGAAACAGCACTGTTCATGTAGTCCGTTAGAAGTGGGTATGCTACCTCAGCGCTGCTTAACATTCGGAGTTTTGAGATCTCTCTCCTAGGGCGCAGCACTGACCGGTACGCCTGAAAGTAGGCAACTCGCTAAGTATTCTCATCTTATTCGCCTGTGTACTATAGTTATTTGTGCACCTAGATCGTGTCATTAGGGTTCTATTGACCGACCGGCAACGAAAAGTCCGAGGGCCTTTGGCCAGAGAGCATTGTGTCGCCTGAACATGTAGAATAATTTTAACGTAAAATAATATGCCTTCGTCTCGTTTCATAGAAAAGACCCCCTCATGCCGAGATGTCATGAATCTGTGAAGTGTTGCTGTATCACCCGGCCCACGTTGACCCATCTCCGGTATGGGTAGTACTGCCGGGAATTGGAATAGGAATAACTCCCCGAAATTTTTACTCCCATATTCGTCGGCCGGGATAGCAGTTAATAAGAGAACATGAGGACTGACTAGAATGGAAATTATCGCTGGATTTAATTGAGCTGGCCATTCGGCAACGTTCTATTACGTGTCACTAGCATGATATGACAAATAATTTTTCGCCCTTTTCCCTCCCTCCTCCCCAGCCTAGCAGATGATAGCTTTCAATGACGTGTGTGTGTGTGTGTGTGTGTGTGTTTGTGGGCGAAGGGCTAAGAGGTGTGGGTTGTGTTCGCAGTTCTTCATCGTGATGAACGTGGCGGTGGGCGGGCGCTTCTTCAGCGACGGCCTCGTCAACTCGCCGCACCCCAAGCCCTGGAACTGGTCGTCTCCGCAGCCCATGCGCGACTTCTGGGAGCGGCGCGCCTGGTGGCTGCCCACGTGGGGCGACGGCGGGCAGAGCGCCCTCAAGGTGATTCAACCTCCTTCATTTATTTATGTTTATGGATATGTTGTTACTAATTTTTGTCTTCGATACGGAGTTCGATAATTTACTTGGATTGAGAGGATCGATATTACGAGGGAAATATCAAAACAGTGGAATGGTACTACATGTTCTCTTATGGAGGGAATTATGGGAGGAAAGTTAATACCTAGTTAGTTAATCAATCAAACTGAATCATTAAAATCACGTTAAAAAAATTAAAGTATGTAGGGAAAAAAAGGCGTAAACCATTTCTAATGATAGAGCGGTGAAAAAAGCACTAGGGCCTTTGGCCCTCGCGCGATTCTATGAATTCATCCATATATTAATCAACCGACGTTGGTGGATGAGGGCATCAATTGATGTCATTGCAGTGCCTCTAACCGGGAGGTCCTAAAGTTAGAGTCCAGACGGTTCCAGGATTTTCAACAAAGCTGCATAGCTATGGTCGAGAACTGTCACTGACTGGAGGAAACTTCTAGCGGCCGGCTGCTCTGGTCAGACGTTTTCCGTGGTTTTGCCGATCAACACCAGGAGAACGCCGGAGCAGTATCCTAATAAACGAAACCCGCATTGTGCGCAATCTTTCCTTCCTCCTCCTTGTCCTATCCTCGTCCCTTACTTACACACACTTACTTGCCCTACCCTATCATACACGTCGGCAGCTAAGGGCTGATCTTGGTTGAGGCGCTGGTGCCCCGCTGGTGGGCGAGACCTGGTTGAGGGAACTCTGCTCACCGACGTGTAGGTCGGCGCGAGGTATCGCCATACCGCCAGGGAAATACAGTGCTACGTCTTGCAATCAATCAACCATATTTTTTTCTTCTTCACTTCACGGCTTGGACTGTTGTCTGATGCGTCCTCACAGTTTCTCTTTAGTTTTTCCTTGGTACTTCCTACGTCACCTTCCTCTTGTTCCTCTTCTTCCTCTTGTTCCTCTTCTTCCTCTTGTTCCTCTTCTTTCTCTTCTTTCTCTTGTTCCTCTTCTTCCTCTTCTTCTTCCTCTTCTTCCTCTTCCACTTCTTCCTCTTCTTCCTGTTCCTCTTCTTCTTCTTGGTGCGTAATACAAAGGTGCATTTGGAAGTCTATTATTACTCAATCTTTCTACATTTGTTGCCGTTGTGCATAGTCTTGCATTCTAGTATTATTTGTTTCCACTTATAGTTATCATCTTTTATTACAAAGATTAATATAAATAGCGATTCTCTTGTTCAAAAGGTAAAGTGAAAGAAATGTAGAGGTCTGGCACAAAGGTGGTGCCAGCCCATTATTTGGAGGGGGGGCAGTAATTGATTTTTCTTAAATAATAAACATATTTGTTATTATATTGTATATAATTTTTGTAGTACACAAACATATTATTTATATATATATATATATATATATATATATATATATATATATAAGTTGTATGAATAATTACATAAGTCTCAATAAGATAGTTAAATCATCTTGCCTAAAGAAAGGAAGGTAACAAACGCATAACCACAGGCCTTTTGGGGGGAGGGGGTCTGGCCTGAGCGCCCCCCCCCCGCAAGAGCAGGCCCCTGATGCGTTGCGGCCTCGTCTGCAGGTGGAACTACGTGCGCGTGTACGCGCGACGGAGAGCAGCGGCTTTTCGCGCGGACAACGCGTGCGCCGACGCCGACGCGCGCGACGCGGCGCACCTACCGCCGCCGCGCCAACGCCGGCTGAGCCGCGCCCCCGCCCCCGCCCCCGCGCCAACGCCGCTCTCGGAAGACGTACATGCGGAAGCCACTCCGCTGCCGGCGTAGTGTTCCAACACCAACTTCCGTCGAAGACTGCGCGTCGTTCTGGTTTCAAGCATTCCAACCATCGGATAGCAAATGTGTTGATGAGGGCATTAATGACAACCACTCAGTTCGATAATAGTGTGAAACTTTTATCAGCGTCCGTGTGGTGATCTTTACCTGATTCGATGTTTATTTCAATCATTGGACCCATCCTATGTTATCAATGTGTTAATTTATGTAGGAGCAATATATGATATCAAATGTGTTTGTTAAAACAGTAACGTTGCTTGGCAGTGTTAAACAACGCTACTGTCGGCGACGTACGGCAGTTTTCAAATCAGTTGTTTTGTTGTTAGGATTATATCTTCTGGACATCGAATGTGTTGTTTTGTCGGGAACGAAAGCCTCATGTATGCCACTAGGGCTCTACTACATGTTGAACATACTTTCACCAATGACCACACATTCTTAAAGTATTAGAATCATCGGACATTTAATTAATTAATAAGTGAATAAACAAAGTTTTTATGCACAACATCACGGAAATTTTGATTGTATACTGCAATGATTAGAACTATCAGACGTGAAATATGATGACAAACGAGGGGAGTAAGAAGCACTCATGAAAGCCACTCCAGTTATGTCATGTTAAACTTTTACTTGGGTGCATGATCACTATTGTTTCATTTGATCTATATTTCAGAAATAACAACAAGCATCATACATGAAATGAGTTGATTAAAAATAGAATGTGCTAGTTAGTTTTCTACGACGCTTTCATTCATAATTACGATCAAATTAATGAAATTTCGTGTTTGCTTCAATGAATAAAATCATCAGACACGAAATGTGTAGATAATTTTTCAACGACGCTTGTGTTTTCTAACTGAAAGTGCTATGATTAATTCACGAAAGCACACGCCCTCTTGCGAATTCAATAGAGTTTTCACTGCTTTAAGAAACTTCTTTAAACAACCGTACGAATAAACCAATGAAATATTTACGCGTCGTCGTAGGGACATGCCATTAATATATTATTACAAGTAGTAATAAATTGATGTCATTCCTGTGCAAATCAAAGAGAGGTGCGTTGTAGTCGGCGTGCAATCCATACTAAGTTCGTACAAGGAGAGGAAACATCGATAGATAGTTCTCAGAGTCTGTTCTGCTGTTGGTCGAGTCCCGCAATTCGAATTGCTATTGTGTTGCACAAAATACAGGTATGCCAAACGTGCTACTCTCCGTAAAACATTAAGACAACTTTGTGATCATCACATTACTTTTCAATTACGCGGCAATATATTGTATTTGATAGTTTATGCACATTAACACAAATAGTGTATAATGATCAATCGAACAGCCCAAGTTCATAAGGCATTGTTAATTCAATTTGTATTGTTTTTAGTAACATTTCCTACAAATTTTATACATACTTGACTGTGGAAAGTGGTTTTTACACCGCCACGTGTTGGTTGTCCGTCATGTGTGGTTGATAACGTTCAAAAGTTAAGAACTTTGTCACACATTATTAAAGTATCCGACCAAACTAACTGATGTTTCTGCGCTCACAGCTACTTTTCGTTTTAATTGCTAATGACATTGCGTATGAAAGCTGATAGAATTTCTTTTTAATTATTTTTTTTCTAAAATAATCAATAAGAAACGTAGAACAAAATGGATTGCACACCATTATTCATATTAATGAGTTTGTACCTCAGAATGAATGATAGTAACAATAAAAAATGTTGGAAACAATTTTGGATTCACAAATATTTAATGTTTTCAAATCACATTTTGATTTCGGGTTGGTAATGTAAAACAAGGGATATGTGACACACATACCACGTATACATTGTTGCTAATAAAATATTTGAAATTAACACATCAAGTAGGAATTGCATACAAAAAATAAAAGCAAACGAAGCTTTGGAAATTTATTACTATGTTCGCAGACGTTACACTAAGTAATTTATAATTTCAAGTTGCGCAACTTCGCGACATTCTTAAATTCTCACGCGTGTCCCAGAACCTACATTATATATGCTTTGGAATCACTTCAATAACAATTAATGAAAGTAGTCTTCTTCTGAAACATTTTTCCATTAGAATATTTTTTAATTGAATGTTGAGAGAATTCAACTGTCTATATTAAAGCAATAATAAAATTCTGTAAGTTTTAATGAAAAAGACCAATTCTTTACACTATGAGACATTTCTATGGTAAAAAACCGACAAGTGTGTTCTGCTTAGGAGATAAAAAAAAGGTTTGTCATTTTGAAAAAGGACTGTTATTGCACAGTTTATTGTCAACGAATCCTGACGTTTCGTGATGTCCAGAAGATAGAATCTCGCATCGGTAAACGTTTAATACGGGAGAAAATCTATTTTGTTCGCATAAAAAGGCGCCAACTGCAAATTTGTGAATTTGTGGAATTGGGATGCAGTAACTACAGCCCTGTCACAGTCGCGCATGACCTTGTGATGCGGCTTATTTTTTTTTTCTGAATCACGCCAGAGATTTCGAGCTGAATACGAAACTGACGTAAACGGATTTTACGGTATGTTATGCTTTTGCGGTCAAAACGTCAAAGCGATTGGTACGAAAATAAAAAAAGTTAATTTATACATCTGATATGTTTTACCTGTGTGTAAGACTGTAAACTTAACACATCTAATTGGAATGACCATAACATGCATTGACATAAAATCATGGGAGTTTCAAGAGAAGAAAGAGACACACGGCCAAATCTGCGCACATTTTCTTGATAAGCCAATTTTTTGGAATCGATGCAAGAGAAGCTTGCTATTTCCTCGGCAGAACTACAAATAAAATGTCTGGCTTGCCGTTGTAAAACGTTTATAATGGATCGGTGCAAAAATGTCGCTAAAAATGCCCCTTACTATTTTTCATTCGTAATTAACGTTAGTTAAGCAAAAGAGAAAATACAAAAATGCCTAAGCTCAAGAAAAAGTGCTCAGATAGTCCAATTATTTCGAACAAAAAAGGTTTATCCTGGCGTCTTTCATTGACAGCTTCGCGTCGAGGCTGGAAAGCTTTACTTCAATGGAATGAAATGGCTCTGAAATGGTGGTCATGAACCGGCTTCAAAGATCAGGATTTTAAGCTAGAGCAGCAAATGTTCTGAATGAAATGAATCGCATTTCTAAATGAAAGAAATGATTCGTGAATGGTACGGGTATAGCGTTTCAGTGAAGATTCACGAAGAATACTGAAACGATTTCTAACATTGTGAACATATTTATGAAATGATTTTACGCTAATTTTCAAAGATAAAGTTAATGAAGTTATTTAATTGTACTAGTAGTTCCACGAGGCAAGTATAATGGCTGTGATGTGACCTTAAGTATCACTTCTTTACAGCAATGCAAGTGCACGTAGGAAAAATAACAATCAGGTGAAATGTGGTGTACGTATCTCTCTACAAGAGAGATACGCACAGCACTACGATTAATTAATTTACTTGGGCATTTGAGTTCCAGAGAACTAAAACTACTAGTAACGAAATGAAAATGAAATTAAAATATAAGATTTTCCCAAATTGTAAGAAAACATTGGTTACACAATATCTCGGCGAGACTCGTCTTAAGGAAATAGTGCTTACGAAGGTATTTGGAATATACTGGTTTGGAAGAAAGGCGTGGATTCAGTACTGAGAAAGAGATAATTAAAATGATGTCCAAAAAAATTATGTAAATTAATGCGAAGTCATACCGAAGTTATAGTTTCTCTAATGTGTTGTAAAAAATACTTGTCTGAAAAGGAAATGACTTTAAATGTATTAATTTTAGTGCAAATAAAATATCTGTTACGGTATTTTTTCAACTTTTTTTCCTTTTACTTTATTTTTACAATTACACGATTTTTAAGGTAAAATATTCGATTTAAAAAGAATAAGTTAAAAAACTTTTAGTAAAGCATTGCTATTAACATACCTAGAAATGTTATGAGTGTTATTACTGCCAGGGCCAAAAGTTAAAAATCGAGGCGAAGCCTAGCGACGCCGAGATTTTCAATTTGGACGACGCAGTAATAACATTGTAAAATTTCTTGGTATGGTATTTTACGAATCACTAATTATGCGAAAATTTACATTACTGCGATAGTAAACACACAAATCTTGCTGCGGCTCGTTAGTATGATATTGTAGGGTGCTGCTTGTGATATATCTCTATATACAATATTCCCATACTGTGGTTCGAGAAAGATGGATGTAAATAATTCTCTGAACCTAAAGAAACGACATTCGGTGAGGAAGTTGGCGCATTCACTTTCAGTGACGACACCTTAATTTCGTCAGTAAAAATTATTACCGGAATAGAGTTTCTTTTGTTGGAATGCGACGAAAATGAGGTTAATTTACCTAATATACAATTGTCTAATTGTACTATTGTAAAATTGAGATATTATAAAATTTGTGTACCGACTTCAATTGTTTAATGTCATCTGGCAACACGTTGTAAAGTAACGTACATGTATTGTATGTGGATTAGGTAGGTGAATAGTAGTGAGCTGTTGATTCTGATACTTGATGGACGTGACGCCATTCATTGACGGCGCTCTTCAAGAATCAGTACAGACAAATAAATATGAAATGTCTGTGATTTTTGAATTTTCAGTTTTAAAATACTTTTGCAACTTGCTTATCCATTTACTAAGGGGAATCCCAGGTCAAATCAACTGTTATCTTTCTGTCCGTCTGTACGAATCGATTAAACTCAAAAACCATTCATCTATAAACATGAAATTTAAACACATTGTAGACATTACCCACGGGACCAACTAAGCTTTTGAATCACCGTAATATCCCCAACGATTCCAAAGATATGGTTGTTTTGCATCTCCCCTCCCATACCGCATTGTTAAGCTTCCTGCTCCTGTTGCCTAAAATTGAGTGCATATGTTTCATGTACCACAAAAACGGGAGGGAGAAACGGACGGACGAAGCGTGATGAGCAGGAAGAACCCACAGAGTGGAAGGAACTGGAAACGGCGAGGTGTTTGAGGACAGCGATGGTAGGCCAGATAGGGCGTGCTCCCAGGGACGGCGAAGCGTGATGAGCAGGAAGAACCCACAGAGTGGAAGGAACTGGACGGGGAGGTTGTTTGCGGACAGCGTGGTAGGCCTAGATTAGGGCGTTGCTCAATGGGACGACGAAGCCGTGATGAGTGCGGGAGGTAAAATCGAGCGGAAGGATTGGATGGGCGGGGTTGGAGTGTGGCAGGACAGGCCATGGGAAATGCCAGATAGGGCGTGGGTGAGCGGCAGGTTATGAGTGGGAAATACACATATAAGGCGGGGAAGAATGGTGGATCCAGGGAGCATGAAGGGCCCCCCCCCAAAAAAAAAAGATCTAGAGTTTTCCTCACCTTTCTGTATTTGAAAAATTTATTTAAGATATTTATTTTGAAATTATGTAATGGGTTTAAACAATAATATTGTATAGGTATCATGTCTACAGTAATAAATAATATACAATATATTAACAAATACTTTATTATTTAACAATACTATACGATGCCCTCCAACAAAAAGTGATCGGGCTGGGTCCGCCCCTGAGGCAAGGAGCTGGATTGACGGGGCAGGAATGTTTGAAGAAACGGCGCATGGCATGGCATGGTAGGGTGCGGGGGTGACAGGCGAACGTAACGACAAGGAACAAGTGAGCAAGCATGAATAGGCTGGATGGGCAGGCAGACGGTGGTGGCAAGATACAGGCCATGGAGCCGCGATCAGCGGCCGTGGCGGCGAAGAAACGGACGTTGCCTATGAAGCGAGAGACACAATAGAGAGGAATATGCTGGAATGGAGGAGCATGGGACCGAAAGATTTTATTCTTGTCGTGGGACGTTTTAGAAGCGTTTTAGTGCGATTTACAGTAAAGTTATTTCAAAGATAAAGAAATTACCACGTTTATTGTAGTAAAGAATACAAGAAAGCGAATGGTACAAGGGTTTTCAAAATCACTTAAGAGAACGATATGGCGGAGGTTTCTTTAGAATAGGAGGAGGAATCGGATGAATATGGGAGAGTTATAAAAATATTTTAGTAAATGCGGGCAGGCTTTTGTACCAAGTAAATTGTTAAAAAGTAACAGCGATCCGGATATAATAATGCCAAAGATTAGGCGATTGGAAAAGAAAAACAGTGAAGCATTTAACAACAGAACCACCGTAGTGAAAAATCATAAAACCTTATTCGAAATTATACAAAAAGCATTAAGGGAAAGGAAAAGAAATGGCAGAGGAACGTCATTTATAAATATTCCTTGTTGCGTGAGGCAGAAATAATTGGTCAGTATTTTTAAAATACGTTCGTAGAAAGGAAAGGAAGTAAAGACGATGATTCAGTTGTTGCCGTGTTAATAATTCGTCAAGCAACGGACTCAGGGAAAAAGCGCAGGCCTTTAACGCATATTTCAACTCGGTTTTTCAAGCAGAATTCTAACAGTATTCAGATACCAACGCTGGTAGATAGAAGTAGTTTTCATATTGATGTAATACTTTGTGGAAAGAATTAAAATTATTGAAGAGAGGAAAATCACGATGTCGCTGATGGTATTTCCATCGGACCTATTAAATTAGATGGGAGATGCTATTGCTCCATATTAATTAAGGTGATTTAATGTATCAATAATCAAACGCTTGCGTACTGGAGGATTGGAACTGGTTCTCGGTGTACTTTTTAAAGTGTGACAAGACAATACTTAAGTAGGCCGGTAAGCCTTACATCAGTCGTATGCAAACTTATGGAGACTCTAATTTCAAGCTATATCAGGAAAGACAATGGAAGGTAGGGAGTGGGTTTTATCAGAGTCAGCCAAGGTTTTCAGAAAATGGTTTTCTCATGTGAAAGTCAGCTAGTCTCACTCTACAGGACATAGCCGACGTAGTTGATGAAGGGAGAGGTCGCAACGCGATAGTAATAGATTTTTCCAAAGCTTTTGTTGTTGTTCCACACGATCGTTTATAAATTAATAGATTCGGGTAATTAAGACACTAGAGTGGTAGCGTGGATAAAGACTACTCCGGAACAGGAACGTTCGAATTCGTAGTTACTTATACCTCGAGAAACGGTCACGGTCAGGAATTCCAAAGGAAGTGGTAATCGGACCACTTCATGTTTCTGGGCCTTACCGTGATGAATTGCGCACTAATTTAGCTTTAAATGTACGACTCTGCAGATGACTGCAATAATCATAGGATTATAACTTAAGAGAAGGGCGAGGATATTTTGCAGCGAGAGCTTAGACAAATTACACATCTGGGCAAGAAAACAAACGGCAAGGAAAAAACAGTTCAAAGACGGCAAGCTCATCACGTTTCGTAGGGGTCGAAGTTATAAATGAAATCTGCGTACATAATGAACAATAATGTTACTACTTACAGAGTCACGTCTTGCCAAAATACTTAGGAATACAGCTAGACAAGTAAATTGAAGGCTGGGGAAACATCAAGTCAATTTCGTTGTACGGAAAAGTCTGCGAATCTTTATATTTTGTTATGCGGATACTGAAAAAGAGTACAGTAACGAGGCGAAAGACCTTTCATATAATGTCATTAGTGCGACCTATAATAGAATATGGCGCCTATGTTGGGACCCCACACAGATTTTTGCACCAAAGGAATCTAGAAAAGGGTTCCAGCGGTAGAGGCATCAAAATTTACTTTCCAGGGATACCAAGAATAAAGGGGTATGGCGAGTCACTCAAAGGAGGAGATTAAAAGTCACTTCTCTATGCAATGTATAAAACGATAGCACAGACCTTCGAAGCGTGAAGAAATTCAAAGTCGATTAGGGAAACCTACATATTTCTGCAGAGCGGAATCAGCATGCACAAAATTCAGAACAAGAATCGAAAAGAACGTTGGGAAATATTCATTCGCCAATCGAACTTTTAGAAACTGGAACGTTTGCTTGTGACAAGCTTCGATCCCTTTCCTCAAAGCATGAGCAAATTTAAAAATAAATCAGTTTCTTGAATGTTGATATGTGTGTTATAAATATATTTAATAAAATTCAGTGTAATTAACGTTGTCTTCTATGTAATTTGGTATTATTATTATTATTATTATTATTATTATTATTATTATTATTATTATTATTTGCAGTGCAGTGACATTCTGAAACTGAGAGAAACGAGTGTAAGAAAGACATTCTAGCTCGCTGTTTTGTCTTTCGAGCCCCCTTTCTTCAAAATAAGGGGGCTATAACAACACATACTTTTTAGCAATAATTTGCAATTTTTGAAAATTAGGAGAGTTCAAAAAAAAGGACCTACGCCATTTTTGTGCGTCCTTTGCCAAATAAATGTAAAGAAAAAAATTGAGCCCTTTTTGAGATTTAAAAAATATATGTATTGACTAACTTCAAGCAGAAATTACATGAAAACTATTTGTTTGTCAAAAAATTGTACATGATTTTTTAACATCTATTTTATAAAGCAGATTTTCGTTCAGAAAAAATCTCTATCTTCAACATAGTGATTTTGCAATGTTAAAAAAATCAGTTTCCCCGAAAATGGAACTAAAACCATTTTTTTCTACCATTGATTGATACTTATGAGGAAAAAATGTAAAGAAAAATTGTAATGTTTTTTGAGAAAATAACCATTTAAAAACTATATTACTGCAAAATTACAGGGAAACTCCTCATATTTTTGAAACATTGTACATGACAGTATTGTAAGATGTTTTTGAAGACTCAAGAACATTTAAGAAAAAAATATCTACCTTCAGTATCTGTAGTTGTATGAAGACATTGAAAATTATATGAGCTTTTTGCTATTTACGAAAATTTAGAAATATCAACAAAA